TTCAATTTAAAGTTTTTAATGCATAGATCAAATATGTAAATTGTTAGAAAATTTGAAAATTATTTGATACTTCGTTTCATTAATTTGAATCAATGTATAAAATGATTATATGATTATCCGTCAATTTGAATTAATGAAATGAAGTATCAAATGATTTTTAAATTTTCTAAAAATTTGCAGATTTGATCTATGCATTAAGAATTTACATTGACCCCTACTTGAAGTTTTTCTAAATGACGTCGTATATATATCTCTTCTTAAATTTTTAAGTGAGTATTAATTTTCTTATTTATTTATTTAAGTGGCACATACAACTACTTATATAAGATAATACTATTTATATACTATTAAGAGAAAATAAATTATTAATATAAATATCAATAATTAAATGAGATTTGATCTCTTATTTCATTTCAACTTTTAAAATATATTTTAAATACCATGCCCAATACTGTGATTTAAAAAATATATCAACTTTAACTAATAATTTTAAAAAAAAGATTTAAAAATTAATATTTTCAAAATTGAAGATCAATGAAAGTTTTCATAAAAATGTCATAGTGTTGGATGTAATTTAGAAACAAATTATAGACGCATATGATTTGTAGAACATAAATTAACTTCCCCCTTATTTTAATTGATAACGTTATTTTGAAAGAGATGAGTAATTTTTAAAAATTAAAAAAAAGATATGTACATTATTCTTAAATTTGGACGTCATGTATTAGTATTTTTCAAGATAAGTAAAAAAAACACATTAATGCTAATTAGTTTATAATTTATAATAGCCTCACTCACTCTTTAGTAAAAAAAAAACACATTAATGCTAATTATATTTTTCAAGATATAATTATATATAGGTAAGACATACCTCACTCACTCTGATTTGTATTTATCTTATTCAATACAATATATTTATATTTTGAAAACACTCATATAATAATGAAAATATTATATAGTGCATTGTTTTGTGTATCGACGGGATCAGGGTGCATTTGAAAAGCAATTAGCTTAAAATTTTTGACAAAATTTCCAACAAAAATTCTGTCGAAAATTTCTGACAGATAAATCCGTCAGAAATTTTCGATGGAATCCGTCAGAAATTTCCAACGAATTTATATTCGTCAAAAATTATCCGTTAAAAGATTTGCGTTTTTCTTGTAGTGTTCAATCCTCTTTTTCCCATTTTAGATTTTCATAATTTACACAAATTTTGAGTTCTCAACTCAATCAACAACCCCACAAATCATAAAAATCTAAGATTCCTAGTTTCCCTTACCTCAATCTCAAACTCTACGAGGAAGAAGAAGAGAAGAATGGAGAAAAAAAGTCTTTATTCACAGCTTAAGCCCCACCACTTCAACATTGAGATGAAAGAAACAATAATGAAGAAGTTTTAGTAAGAAATGAGAGTGAAGTGGGAAAAAGAAAAGGGGACAAGGGTTTTTGGTTCTCACAATTACACTTTGTTTGAATTTATTTAAAATCATTTTTCAAATTTAAATTCTGAAATAGCATATTTTGAATATTAAAAATTTAAAATATATTTGAGGAGAATAAAAATGTTAGAAAATTATAGGCTTAATTACACATTTTGTCCTTCTATTTTTATTATTTTGTAATTTTGATCTCTTAATTTTAAAAGAAATATTTAGTTCCTCTAATTTTAAAAATACAAAAATTTGATCCTTGTATCAAATTAACATCTACCAAATGTTTACTAATACTTAAGTTATATGAAATTTAGTAATATAAAATTTATAAACAAAAAAATTGAAAAAATAACACAAATAAGATTTTTATTAATAAAAAATATTAATCACTTGTAAAAATAGATATAAGAAAAAAGATCTTTTGTATGTTATATTTAATTTTTAATCATGTATTTCACGTTATTAAATATCACATTACTTAAGTGGTGATAGACCACTAGATAACATCAAAATTTAACTATCAATGAACATTAAATTAATCTAATTAATGACCAAAATCTGCATTTTATAAAATAAGGGGATCAAATGTCCCTATTTTACAATAAAAAGATCAATACGGATTAAAAAAATAGATAAATTAAAAGTGTAATTTAACAAAAAATTATATATTAAAATACTCATTTAGTCTATTTTTTATTTAATTTGATCATTTTATTATTAAAAAACTTTGACTTGATCTTCTCTTTTAAAAAAAATGAAATATTATCATTTTATTCCAACTAAAATAACAATGTTAAATATTTATGCATATATCACTACAATAAAATGAACTTTTAGTGGTATTTAATATGAATTTTAGTGGCAATAAAAGTTGTTACAAAATTTTTTTCCGGCATTTCACACATTAGCCATTGTATGCAGTGTCGCTAAAATATTTACCGGCAATTATTCTATATGTTGGTAAAGACCCTCACAATGATCGGGAAAAATGTATAATTTTTTGTGTCATTTGTTACTGGCATTTAAAATTGTCGCTAAAAGTTTAAGAAAAGATTTATAATACTCTTTAATTATCTTATTTCTAGTCGATGTAGGATTTGTAAGATGAGTACAAATATTCTTTAGTTACCTTATTTCTAATTGATGTGAGACTTAGAAGATGAAGGTTATCTTCTAAGTATATATTCTTTAATTTTTTTAATTATCTTATCTCCTAAATACCAACTTAGAATAGTAAGTTATAGGCTTAACTCAACCTTATAAAACATACTTGTAAGGTGAGAGTTATCATTCACTTATATACTCTTTAATTATTTTATTTCTAGTCGATGTGGGATTTAAGTTTTTTCTAACAAATAATTATCACTAATAATAAATTTTGATGTGATGTAAATATATTTTTAGTGGCCATTATATAATAGTCATTAATATTTTTTATTAAATAATAAAATAGAGACAATTAATTTATTACCATTAAATAATTGTCAGTAATACTAAATTTTGTTGTAGTGATATAACATGTGACACCATAAAAAAGTAACACATATATCTACGCAGAAACAAAGTTGAATCAATAAAGGAAAAGGAAGATAAAAAAATTATTAGCAGTAAAATTTTATTATATATAATTAAAATTTGAAATAAATTATATATATAAATAAATATTATATTTGAATATATAAATTATTTT